GATTCAACGGCGGCATGGCACAGTGGTAAGGTTCTAGCTTCACAGGCACGAGATGAAGGTTCGAATCCCGAGGGATGGATTCGTTTTGCATTTTGTGGAGGATGTCTTCCGAGTGTGGGGAAACACTTCGAGAGTTGATATGACTACATTTTTCAACACAATAGGTGATCCAGCGTGATCTCTACATGAGACTAGACGTTGTTCTGTAGTAGTGTCAAGTATAGGGGCTGTGACATGATGAAAATGACGTGGCAAACGTGGAAACCGACCGTTAGGTGAAAGCAGTACTGTTTGCAACTATAAGGATTATGTTCTGTCCAAAGCTGGTGGTGTCGCACTTATTGAAGGACTTCGGTTCTTGTGATCTCGAGCGTGCCCCATCCAGGAAAGAGCAGAAGGTCATCAACAGCTTTGCGTATATACTACGGGAAGCGATGTACGACAACTGATCATCGAGTGCGAGGAAGACAGAGTGGTAGAGGACGAGGAAGGCGACCCACTGGTGGATGTTGACGATGGGGAGCTAACACCGAGCACGGAGGGATCATTCTTGTTTGGTAACGTGGAGGTGCCCAGAGAACAGGTATGAGTTCAGTGTTTTCCAGGCATAGTCAACTACAAGTTATGTCACTGTAATGTAGGTGGAGAGAGCGATCGTCTTTTATCGAGCCAGCGCCAAAGGAAGCCGCTCCTTGTCAAGTATGAATGCCCGCTTCCGTTTCATTCGCACCGACTACCATCTTCTGAAGTTAAGGCGAATAGAGCAGGAAAGTAAGTGAAAGAAATATTGCTAGATCTTTTGCTGCTATTCGTGCTATTCGTTGCCATTCCAAAATAGGTAGAACTCGTGCGGACCGGTTGGTTGGTTTACGTGCACTGGCGGAAATCTTGAAAGAAGAGGTGGCTTCGAAGTTAGGGCAAGGAATCACATTGCACGATTGTGATATCCGTCAAATGGCCCTGAGAATCAACGAGGAGAGATCGTTAGTGGATGGCTTCAAAGCAGGGCATGCATGGATCCTCGGCTTCAAAAGAAAATGTGGAATCGTTTCAAGACGTATAACGACCTTCTGCTCCAGGAAGAGTTTCCTGGACAGAAATCAGAATCTCCTTTGAAGCCGAGAAACTTTCTGCAGAAAGTGAAGACAGGTAAAAGATGATCTCTTGCGAATTTCATTGCTATTTGTTCTTCATTCACTGGATAGCCAGATTGAGCTCTACGTTTCTTGCCTGAACGTGAGTCCTTACCAGAGATGGAGAAATGGCCGTTGAACGCGGTATGTAACGCTGATCAGTGTGGGTTTCTGAAGGAAATGCACTCTTCACGGTCACTAGCTTTTCGAGGCTCGAAGAAGGTAGAAAGAGTGGTACAATCAGTGTCCGCCACGACCCACTCCTTCACTGTTATGCCGTCCCTGTACGCAGACGGCCATCTTGGTCCGAAACTTTTCGTAGTCATGCAGGTGTGTTTTAGAATTATTCTGTTGTCTTTTTTTCTCACCCTAGATTTGACAGGAAGTCACTGGGGAATTTCCCGCTAAAGGATATTTTCCCTGCAAAGAACTTGGAGGTCCGTGCCAGCAGGACGCATATGATGGGCAAGCAGCTGATGTTGGAGTGGGTACAGCATTGTGTCGCGGGTCCAGATTCTCCAGCGTCAACTTTGCTTGTGGTTGATTCGTGGACTTCGTTCAAGGATCACGAGGCCATCCGCTCCGTCTTACCGCCACAGAAGCAGATTGAGATCTTCAACATCCCTCCTGGAGCAACTAGTCAGATACAACCGCTAGATGTCTATTTTTTATGCCATTTAAGGCAATGTACAAGCGGATTACGGCGCATGTCATAGCCCATGATATCAATTTTCATGTATACGCTCGCGATTCCATATACGGCTACTTTCGCTCGTGTATTTCCAATTTTGTGCACCCCGGTTTAGGAACTTCCTGCTATACTCCTGGTATGCCGCGGGTTACTTGAGCACTCATCCAGGTACTTTTGAGACGCCAGCAGAATTTTGTTTTCCATCCCAAGTAGTTAGCGTCTGTGACATTACGGGATGCGACAAGATCTTTTTTATTCGTTGTTCTCATTGTGAGCAACTTCTCTGTTTTGATCCACTTTGTATTAGGATATCACATTTGCTCATGAATCAAGGGACTCATCTTTTGCTTAATATCATCTTGCATTAATAAATGAATATAGGTCATATCAGAGGTAGATTACGCTGTTCACCTATTGTGTTGAAAAATGTAGTCATATCAACTCTCGAAGTGTTTCCCCACACTCGGAAGACATCCTCCACAAAATGCAAAACGAATCCATACCTCGGGAACCTTCATCTCGTGCCTGTGAAGCTAGAACCTTACCACTGTGCCATGCTGCCGTTGAATCGGCAAGTGCCTCCAGGCTACTTGTGCCAACTGTATGGCAACCCGCCGCACACCCCGTTAAATTTTTCAAGCCAAACAACCCTTCTAACTCCGTTTTGAGAATTCCGCAAATCTATACGGCCAACTTCGACCCTGACGACCATATCCCATGGTAAGTAGACGAGTACAAGCATTTTCAGGTAGCTACTACAGCTGCAGTTAATGAAGTTTGTATAATTCTGGGAACTTCCCACTTACGGTTTTGCTGTTAAGATAGCTAATCATGTAGAGTCAATAGACCTTCCAGTTCATTAAAGACTGTGATAAAGTTGAAAGAATAAAATGCCTTAGAAAACTGAGCTCACAATCTTCTGGAGTATCGTCCATGTCATGCTTGTCGATACGTGATCGAAGAATCCTCTCGAAATCTTCGTGAATGCACAGATTTGTATTGTTGATGATTTCTGGGAAAGAGTTTCTGAGTATGGAGGCCCAAAGACGACGTATATGCAGCTAAACAGTTACCAGAGAGTCAGGCATTAAACATGTAGTACAGAAAATGGCGTTACCTCAACTACGGGCAACGTTCAACATTCACCCTTTCCTGCCGCCGCTATCGCCGAAAATCTGGCCAGTTTATGACCAACTTTGTATATCCCCAAACTCGCTCCGCCAACATTGAACCACTTGGACGCCGCGCACAAGCACCGTACGGAAAAATACCCAATACCACCAAAATCGCTGAACTGTAGTCGGAGGAAAAAAAAATAAATAGTTAGTTTGGCCTCACTACAACAAGTATCACAATCTGTGTGGGCGTTGAGATGTTAGATTTCAGCTACGGCAAAACAGAGGTACACGTGATGGTTATCGATTCTTGCCTCCTGCTCAATCTCTACCGCTTTCTCCGAGATAGATTGATGCACTTCCTCTAATAGGCTGAGCGCTTACTAAAGGAAGAGTGTCACTCACAGGTAACCCCGGAGAGGAGTTCTGCTTTTCTCCCATCCCCTCCCCCCGCCTAACTGCTATGCTATGCATCACAGCAGCGAAAACGACTGGAGTCTGGCTACAATGCGCGGGTTGAAACAAATGTAATGAACTCAGTTATGTGTACGGTAATGCTGTAGGGCCGGTTTATCGGGTTAAGCTTGATGTGGTCTCGTGTTTAAGGGAGCAAAAAAAATAAGTAAAAAAAATAAAAAAAAAAAAAATTAAGAATAACTAATCCGGTTGGCAAGGTTTCAAGAGGCAATGTTGGCTTTGAGTAGTGTCGACGGCGGGTTGCGGGCGCAGGAGGTTTAGGTCAGGTGATTTCAGTTCGAACGGATGCGATATTCGTGTTCAGGAGGGCAAACTCCTGAAGACAAATTTTGAGCTGATTCTGTCCACGGAGAAAGAAAGGTAGTCGAAAACTGGCTCGATTTCGGATGGATGGGGCAGTACAGAGTGGATAGTGCCCAACTTTGAATGGAGACCCACTTACAATGGCAGGCTTTGGAATGCTCTTTACAATTGTATAAACTAAAATTTTCCTAACTCTGTCACCAGCTACCTCTTACAAGCGGGCGAAGAGCGGTCAAACTCTGCAATGATTCAATGTTCTGGTGCACATACGCAAGACCTATCATCTAAATTTGGCAAGAAATTTCAGTCCCCACTAAAACGAATACCATATCCGACCGATGTGAAAATGGGTAGTGTTGACGCTACAACAGCCCGCTGGATAAGTTGTCCACGAATATGGCATATTTTAGCGCTTACAGCTCCCTTTGAAAATTCGCGTAGCATTTTTTGTTTCCATGTTTGTAACCAGCATCTCGGCCCTATCAAAATAATTGGCTCTCTATTTCAAAGTTCTATAGGAAGCTGAAACTTTTCCTTAAGTCTTGACTTCTGCAAGCCTTCATTTTTGGTTTTCAAGGCTTGCTCTTCCTTTCTCCTATGTCACCAAATTATGGCTCCATTCCACCACCCTCACTCGTGATCGTGGAGTGTGCCTCTAAGATAGTAGCTGGCAAGAGAGGCACGAAGAAGCACATGAAATATGGCTAGAAAATGAATTAGGAATGAATTAAAAGGAAGAGGATCAATAGTAATAGAGCTAGCCAAGAAATAACGGGTATAGTCATCAGCCATCGTGAAATCATGGAGAATAAATGTGCTTTACGATCGCAATACATTTTACCAGTGTGAGCGACCCTCTTTTTGATTTCGTTAGAAACGTGAATACCATCCATACCTCGGCGTTGGAAGGGAAGCGTTGACGGACTTAGTAATGAGGCGCAGGTGTGAATGCATTTCTGCGGATGGTACTGGGTTCAGGAAAGAGACAGTATTTCCACGCATCATTGCATCAAGCGCCAAATACACGGGCACAGTCATGATCCCTACAAACGATAGGGATGTGTGACGCGGGCGTGGATTGGAACGCTGCCAAGGCGGCTTTTCCATCAATGCCCCTATCTTGAGTCCGCAACAATTGTCGGGAATGGCTGATCTGGCTACGATGCAACTCACTCCCCTTGACACACCCTATCGTTTGCAAGGATCATGACTATACGTAATTGGAGCCACCTTCCCAACTGGGACCGGACCCTCTTGGAAGTTCAGTTATGCATGCCCTTCCCTGGGCCTCTCCCGACTCCCCTTCGAGCCTCGCCCACCCCCTCCCTCCAACGCCGAAATATGAACTGTATGTACCCATTGCTGTGTTTATTTCGTTACTAGTTCACGGCCTACTCACCATTGTCGCATATCCATCTTGGTGAGCGTAGCTCTTGAAGATTTCGTAGGAAGTCGATGTTCTCTATTTTTGAGTTCTTCAACATTACACATCCAGTGAGCGTGAATGGCTTTAGTGGCTCACGCGGTGGGAGAAGACTTTGCTGATCCCGTCTCACTCTGATGTCACCGTGGAGCAGCTCACATCCGATCAAGTCATTCAGATTCTTCAGCGGTTCCGGAACAGTGCACTCTGTGAAATTATACCTTCTTGGCTTCCCAAGTCTGGGAAAATTGCACAGACGGTTTGATGAGAGCCCAAAATAGCCTCAACAAACTTCCTAATGGGTGATTGTCTTGATTGTCCTCTGAATAGATGCAGTGCGGTCAACTAGGGGTGAGGAAGCTCACCGGCAGCTCGAAAATGGGACGTGCCCTCCAAGGTTGGACGTTAAGCGTTACTAAGCTGATACTCACCGGAATCACACTCCGCGGCGTTTCTACCTGGCGGTATGTTTCCTAGCTGTATTCAGTCATGTAATTACACTGAGAACTTGAAACTAACGACGCACTAGTACAATGACTGCAGGCCGGGGCATGACTCATCTCCAGCCCTTATGATTGTTCGACTTTGCTGATGATGTCATTTGTCGTGGCGATCCGGATCAGACGGCCTCGACGGGCTCTGCAATACAGTATATCTTGTCAATCGAGAAATGCTTTCAATGTCCATTCATTTGACCCAGGGTACAGCACCGTTTGTGTGAAAACACATAGGGATCCTATTTTCCTGGCGGAGGGCAGAGTGGTCGCATTTGGTTGTGGGAGAGAGGGGGAGATCGTATGTTGGTTTGAGAAAAATTTGCTGCGTTTGGAAAATCTTGCCGGTAGTTGACTTTTCCTGATCTTTCCTGTTTACTGTGCACTATAAACCTCCCCATCCCACTCGAAGTCTCGAAAATTTTACTGGAAAATCCGGGAAATCGGTAAGTAGGTGTTGAGGAGGGGGTGTCGTACCGAGACCTTCATCCAGGTCGGGGTGGGTAGTACTGACACCCTCTCTCGAGGGAGGGAGCGTACCTACACCACCATCTCAGACATCACGATGCTCCCCGTTGGGACAGAGGCTTCTTGTTGCGCTCTTCATTCTGTCGTCTCCTAATTTTACGACGGTAAGTACGGCCGCTGACAACTGGAGTCGTGGAGTCGCATGGATTGGCTCTTTATGTGAGCGCTGCGAATGCCAACCTCTTGCAACGCATGTTTTGCCGCACTCGCCGCTACGGGGAGGTACCGCACCCCTCCCCTGCAGTCATAATCACTGCAAACCAGTGTGAAGGGACATGAATTAGAGTGCAACCTGAACAGCACTGACCACCGGTTGTCGCGAGCTGGGATGGCATCCGTTGTTGAGAAAGGCCACCCTGTTCACGTCCCTCACACGCTCTCTCTCGTTTGCAACGGTAATGGCTATAGCTCCTCATCATCCTCTTCAGTTGTGTGGGAGCGGTTTATGCGAGAGCGGAAGAGTGGGGCACGCGGCTGCACTTCAACCTTCCCGTTGGAACGGCCCGATGCTCACCTTCACTAGACACATGTCAAATTAGAAACAAAGAAAAACAAATATTGGGGAAAGGAATACACTCCAAAGCACAGATGATCCGTTTCGCCCGTTATCGCAGACGAATCATCGATGTCTTACCAACCCCCGCCCCGGGCTCGTCAGTTCGACAAGGTAAAGCTGAGGCTACCAGACTCAGAGATCACCAGGCCACCAGTCACTTTTACGCTAGACTACCGCCACCTAGCGCGCCCAGATCCTTTTGATGATGCTTTTGTGAGGGAAGACTTCAGGTGTGTGTCTACTGGCTAGCTTCCAACAGTCTCAGGCTTTTTTGTCGTATATACAGATTTCCAAGTGATTTCATAGAAGTACCTCCGAATTCTTGAATGGAATTCCGTTTCGATGCCCGTCCACGAGCTTTCAATTCTTTCAGTCTTGTGATGGTATTATTTGAGAGTTTTCGATTTCCTCGTACCATCAACGTCGGTAAGGCGTCGGCTCTAACTCTGTTAGAGCGACCAAATACTATCTCTTCCAGATAAGGATTGTCGATTATTACAATTGCCGCAACTGAAAACTAATGTTCAAGTTCAAGTACTACAGGATCGAAGGTTAACTCAAGGTTCATTTCATTGAAACGTAATAAGAGTTCAAGTCAATTTCGCCTTTACTGCTTGTTTGGGTTTTGAGGCCTTATTTCACTGAGGAATATGAGCAAGAAAGGTAAAATCCTGGCACTGATGAATCTCGTGGGACTTATTGCATATTATTTTACATTTTTATTGCACATATATATTGCACATGGTTGGCTTTCATTCAGTGTAATTGGGACTTCTGATTGTGATGTTCATTTGACCTCCGCAATGGAATACGAAACAAGCATGATCCAGACTACTTACTCGCTTCGTCCTCCAGAACATGACTGTTCTAGGCGGGTCAATCTGGGATCTTGGTTAGACTTAAAGACAGTTCCCGCGGCGAATAATTGGCTCCGCGGATAGGCAATTGCTCGTGGCATTGTAAGTAGGATGTCGCACTTGTGCTTTGGATGGTTTGTGCCGAGTTTGCGAGAACATGCCACTTTCGCCACTCTAAACGGCAAGATAAAGAAGACGAGACGCGTTTATTGCAGTCGCTGCTACCACGATTACTTTACTTCGCAGGACACGTCTTACGGAAACGTCTTTACAAAGCGCTATTGACGCATGTACGCATCAGCGTAGGTCGTAAGGGTGATTTGCTGCGTCTCCGTATGGCGAAACAGGTTGGCACGTGTCAAGCGCCGCCCTCGTACACAAGGTCTCGTGCTTGGAGTGTTTTCCCAAAGGTTTTTTGCTTCTTTCTCCATAGAGGGGTTCACTTATGGGCTACTTGGATTTTATGCTGAGTCACCACCTACGAGAAGGAGTTTTATTGTGCAAGCGCTTCGAGCGGCTGTCTGTTTGTTAGATTTTTTTCTTAATAATGGGCGGTCACTCAGTCGCGGCTGAAAGGCAAAGCCGATTTTTGAGCCTCCTCCTCCAGGCAGTGCACGATGCATACTCAAACACCCCTATCTACAAAGTTTGTGTGCGGTATTCCGAGGAATGTCTTCGTAATCACAATGTGCAAAAGCTCTCCCACTTCTTTTTGGAGAAAAAAAAACCTGTTCCTTGTGAAATAAAAGCGAGTCAACGATTGAACCTTACACGATCGTGGAACCAGCATCCCGCTTTCTGGCTGATATGCTGGAAAAGGCCCAGTCGTCCTATAATTTTGGTACCCTCGACTCGAATACACACTTCGAATTTTTTGAGCTTCGAGAAGAAGACGTTGAACTCGTCACCGTCAAAGTCTGACGCATCAATCACCGGCGATTTTCTGATTGAATGACAGTGTCTCTTGCTTCGAACACTGCTTAATGAATGCTTTGGGATTCCTTTTGTAGTACTTCGTAGTTACTGCACACTGCAAAACCAGAGTGAAATTCAATTCTGGAATGAATGAAAGATAGAATGCGAGCAGTCATACACCTTTGCACCTTTGGTCATCCCCGCTTGGTGCAGTTCGGCTAGGTGCGAGCATTTCGCTAGTTGGTCTTGATCAGTGCCAACCAAGGCACATCCCACCGTTGATGGATACTCTTGCAGAATACCACACCTTTCCTCCTCTGGTACGACCCCCTTCTCTCATCCACTATCTATCCCACCTACCTTTCCTAAAACTTCCCTTTTTCGGTTTCTCCCGAAACATCCTCCATTACTCCTTGATAAACCGAAGTCGATGGAGGGTGAGGGCTGTGTAACGGTTTCCAAACGGAAAAAACCAATAAACAATTGGAAGCATTTTTCACAAAGGAGACTACGACCACTCTCCTCCCCCCCCCTCCGACGACAAAATGCAATCCCCTCGCTAGTTATCCCTAACGTACGATGCTCTGTTGTCAACACCTGTGGAGACTGTGAACTCTTGTGAAACTGTGAAGTAGCACCAGTTAGTCCATCTACATTTGACAGAAGTTCTTAGGTCTCACCAATGTGGGTCCCCCTAGCTAAAAAGTGCTCTTTGTTTTAAGGTGTTATATAAATGAAACAATCTAACAGCCAATCATGGCAGGGTGGAGGTGACCTAGCAGCAATAGGCATCCCGAAATGGGGGACATCCGGGTAACATCCGGCTAATTAGTACTTTCTGGTGCTGCAGCACTTGCGCGTTAAATCGATTATCTCTTGGTGCGAATGCCGCGCACCTGCTACACCGCTTTTGCTGCTCATTGTGCATTTATCATCTCGCACCCTGCCATGCATTTTTTTGTAATAGAGTTTCATCTCGCCAACCAAGAGCAAATGCTCCGCTCAAAATGGCTTGATTCGTAGCAAATTTCTCTTCAGACATTTCTTATGGTCAGTTGAACAATGGCTGATCTCTCCACATACTTCGAATGTGTCCGAGGGTGAACGGAAGCCCCTAGAGGTACCACAGAAGCTATGGGTCCTGCACTTCTACTCTACTTGTCTTTATCACT